CCTCAACTTTAACCACCGGTTACTCGCAATTAACAATCACTCGTTCACTACATCTCTATTTGTATAGATTTGAGTCCATTTTGACAACATTTTGAAGTTTCAAAGTTGTGGACTTGAGTCAAAACATGTCTCATGTTTGTACCTCACCTTTTGTTTGGATGCTGAGCTTAACCCTGTTATTTGCTCACTAAACTAGTTAACACACTATTGTCATCATAAATAGGTGATAATTTGCCACTTTGTCATCACTTTCCTAAAAGCTCATAAAACTTACCAACTTTTAAAGTTAACGTCAAATGATTGCATAACTCAATAGCCATATAATGATAATATCGACGAAAGAAAATGAGTACAAAAATTGACACCAAAATTAGTTGTTCACATAATTTACTTTTTTAGTCACATTTTGTTAATACATGTGTCGATTGGGAATCGATCAACGATTTGCATATTTGTTTCGTTCGTTGGGTTCTCTTATAAATCATTTCATTTATTGGTTTAGATCTTAACAGTAAATTCAAATGTTTATCTTATTATGTATTTTTTTTGGTTCACAAGTGTTGGTCATTTTAGCTCACAATCGAAGGCTACAAAAGTTACAGTAATTGATAGTTTTTTTTGTTTGTTATACATTGTGTTGTAGTATTTTTTTTGTTTGTTTTTAAGTTTTTATAATATATTTGATATTCAGATTGACATAATTGTTGCGATGGATGGCTAGACTTGAGGGGGTAGTGGACTAGCAATTGGTCTTAAGAAGCGATATATATATTTATATAATTAATAAATTAGTTGAGCGAAAGGCACAGTTGGGTAACAAACCACACAAACCCTACCAGTAGTTCAACTCATTGTGAAATTCAATGGAAAGGTAAATAATATCTCGACAGCAAAAATAAAGGGCACCTAAAAAACAGGATTACATTTTCATGAGGGCTCAGACATAGAGTGGGAATAATTGTATGAAAACAAAGTTTTTGCAATAATATGTGAGGAAATAATCAATCGATTAATTGTATGCTTAGTTACGAACAACTCTTAACGGCTTAACCCGAATCGGTTACGAATCACTAGTTCTTTGTATTGTTTTTGTTGTGTTTTTGTCGTACAAATAAGAAATAATAAAATTATAATAGTTTACAGTTTTTGTTTCCGTTTAAAAAACATTTCATACAAAATGTGACCCAAACTGCAAAAAGGCTTTTTATAAACAATTGTTTTTTTTTCACTAAAAACCATATATAATAAGTAGCGGTTGTCTTGACATTCAATACACGTTTTAATCGTCAATTAGAGTACGTTTTAGTGTCTGAATCCGCCATTACTTTACAATTTCGGCGCATTTTTCGCGACCATTTTTGAAGCCATTGGTTCCGTCGGGTCCTCTGGGGTTTCGAATCACCACAACTCTTGGGCCGCTGTCTTCCACTTTGACGCGAGTGAGTCGTTCAGGTCGTGCGGTCTGTGTTTCTCCGATCTTCACTATATTACAAGCGGACGATTTGCCGGTCCTTTGGCTGTGAAGTATGACAAACTCGACCGAATCTCCCGGCGCTAGGTTTGAGTTGTTCTTCACTTCAGACATATGGAAAAATATGTTGGTTTCGCTTTCGTAACTCAAAAACCCAAAGTTTCCTTTCACACAATCAACGGTTCCCTAGAATTAGTACATATATTATAGCAATTGTTTGATTACAATCCATAACTCAATGACAATACCTGATGTTTGGTACGAATGGGTTGTATTCTTACGGCACGATATTTATCGGCCGCTGAGTTGAAGCCCACCTGAAACTTAACGGCGTCTCCCTTTTGGATGAATTCGTTGATATCGTAGAGTGAAATCATACTAAACTCGTGCTCTGTTTTCTCTTCACTGTCGCCACTATTGGTGGTCGAGTCCGCGGCCACACGTATTAGACCCGTGTATTCATTTTGGTCGGGATTCAAAGTGCGAACGTTACGTATGATTACACCCGACAGCACTTCCGGCTGTATTTCATCCGTTTGTTTCCGTATTGACTGAGTTTTACGAACGGCGAGTGCCGTCAGCTTTGAGTTCTTAAAGGAGGCGTTGTATTCGACCGGTTGTCCCAACTCTAAGAGATCAACGTTTCCGTCATAAACACTGTAGTGAAAGAAGAGCTCTCTTTGTCCGTCTTCTGTCTCAATGAAACCAAACGACTCCTTAAGAGCGACAACTGTTTGTAAAATACAAATATTTTTAATTAAAATAATCAATGAGTCCACCGATCAATGCAAAAGACATACCAAATCCACGGTTGGAATATTTGTTTCCATTTTTAATGTGAACTGTATTTCGGGATAAATTGGATGAGACGCTACTCTTTGAATTGGAGTCCCTTTTAATTTTAGGCACACTTTGTGTTTGCGATTCATATGATTGAGAGTCTTCATCGAGTGATTCGGCGATAACCATAGGTTTTAAGGGCTGTTGAGTGAATGGCCGGTCGTTTGACTGTTCGTATTGGGAAGAACTACTCAATAAATCGCTGGATTCGGTTAAATTGGTTCCGATGTCCAACTGAGACAAGATTTCAGACCAGGAATTGCTTTTAGCGACAATTCCCTCAGAAGAGCGGCCATTATATAATGCTTTTGCGTGGCTTTTCTCGTCGGCACCATATGTTCCGTTCCTTTCGTTTTCTAATTCGGTGTTGAAGTCTATTAACGGAAAATCGTTGGTCTTTGGGAGTCGGGAGTCGTTTCCGTTCGGGATATTGTATTCACCATAGAATGACTCAGAATTATAGGATCCGTTTGAGAGCTGTTTTTGCATTTGTTTGGCCGGAGAGAGAAGATTCTTAAATATGGTTCCGTCGGGCAGTAGTTTTATGCGAAGCGCTTGCAGTCGACCCACCGATGAGAGGTCGGGACCCACTGTGAACTCCACCTCATCGTTAAGTTTCAGCGAGAGGTTTGGGTTAAGCATTTCGCTGACCCGGAAGTAGACTCGCGTTCCCTCTCTATTCCAACATTTTATGAAACCGTAATAATCCTATCAAACAAATGCCCAATATTTTCAAACACCGTTTACAAACATCATTGAATTGACTTTACCTTAAGTGCGGCCACATATCCCTGTTCTCTATGTTCATCAGTTACGGTGAATGTGTCCTCTAAAAGATCCACTCCAGAGGCGTGTTGTAAGCCATCCCTTCGATCGGTGACCACTTGAAAAGTGACCAAATCATCGCATTTGAAACTATACTCTCCCTTCACGTCTCGTTCGCCGTAAGGTATTTCGATTTGGTCTCCATTTTTGTTATAAACAATACGTCCGGGAAAGGGCTCGGAAGACGTGCCGGATTGTGAGGATAGTGTCGATTGTGATCTCGAACTGGAATGAGAGGAGTTCTGACGGTCTAACGTCTTAATGATTCGTCCCGTAAACCATTCGTCCGAAACGTCTTCAAACACTACTGAACCGGGCGTTAGTTTATTCACACTTACGGCCACCTCTTTGTTGTTTCGGCTTTGGATACAGAAGTCCACGTCGTCTCCAAGAAGTAGGTCTTTAAAGTCTTTGCATTCAGACGAGTGGAAAAATATCTACAAAAATATTAGATTTGTTTTAAAATTAAATTCACGAAAAACCAAAATATCTTTAAATAAATTACTTCTTTGACGACATCTGAGCGCTCAATGAATCCAAACGATTCCTTTAAAGTGCAAATCACTCCCGAGTGCTTCTGAGGTGTGGGCACTTCGAGTTTCACGTGACGGGCCCTCAAGTTTCCGCTCTTATCGGTTCCGATATAGAAAGTGACGCTATCTTTAGAGTTAAGATTGGGATCGTCTTCGATGTCGTCCTTAGCGAAGGGCAGGAAAAAGCATTCGCCTCTATTCTCGTAGGCAATGCGTCCCTCCCTTTCGGTGGTCAACTCAGTGGTGATAAAACCAATCACCCGTTCAGTGCTCAGCTCTTCGGATATGAACGCCTCGTTAGTGATCTTTATGACAGTACTGGCGATCGGTTTGCCTGTCCTTCTGTCGTAAGTCATTTCAAACTCGACCGGATCTCCGAGTTTCAAGTGTTCAATATTTCCCGAATATTGACTAAAATTCGCACAAAATTTTATAATAATTACTTTAAATACAATTTATTTTGCAATCAAAATACCTGTAGTGAAAGAAGAGTCGCGCCTGACGTTCGCAACACTGTATGAACCCATAAGAGGCCAACTATTGAGACAAATAGTTAAGAATAGGGGTAAAAACAACGGCATAAGTGGTAAGTAGTGAGTGGTATGACTGACCAGTTTCTCAACAATGCCGGCCTCTCTGAAGCCGCCCTGTGTTGTGGCACTCGAAGAAGAATTGGAGGAATCGTTGTTCGAAGAATTGCTTTTATTTGAAAATACATTATTAGCCGTCGAGACAAATGAACGACTGGTGCAGGCATTCGGGTTTGTGTCGGTGTTGTTGTCGTGATTGGTGTGATTGTTTGGCAACTGGAAGGCCTATAACCAGAGAAACAACATATTGAGACAATTGGTAAACAATAGATGGTAACAAATGGAGACATACCTTCCACTGCGGACTATCCATTAGTCCTGAATATATATCGCAATGTAATTCACAGTCAGTTTCGAAGAGAAAAATAAAATTTACTTAAAAGTTAAGTCAACTTTAAGTCGACTTTCAGTTTGTTTGGATTATAATTCAATGTAATTATTATTATTATTATTAATATTATAGTTAATAGATATTTCATATCATAATATAATTATCAAAACTTGTAAACAATGGCCCAAATGTGTTGACTATTATTAGTTTTGTGTTGAGTTACGCTTTTGTCGAGACTTTATTTGTTTTCTTTGTTACTTTAGTTTAACTTTTTATGCATTTAATTAAAAACTAAAATCTAATAAAATAAGTGGTTTTTTGTTTCCGAGCGTTGCTTTCAATGTGTTAATCAAATGAGTCTTTTTTATTGCCAAAAGTGTTTTCGCTTATCGTTTATGTCTTCACTAATTGTAATCTCTTATTAATTATTAACTAATGTATCACTTCTTCATTGTCTTCAGTTGTGTTCCGCTTTTAGTTTCAGTCTTTGTTTGCTTTTACTTTTTGTATCTTCTTTTTTGGTCAAATCCCAGCTCTTGTCTTCTCTTATGATGTCTTCTCTGATCTATGGTTTCTGTTCTGATGTTATTTGGCTGAAGATAAGAGACAAACAGACAGTCATTACATTTGGACAACAATTCACGGCTAAACACAACTCAATTGTCTTTTGGATCAATTATAACGGCATTAATTCATTTGTCATTTCATCTCATGAGATGACAATATCAACAAAATTATACTAAATTAACCATTAATTGTGTAATCAATGGATTCATTGCCACTCAAAACGGATCCAAAAGACAACTGAAATGAACGCCAAATAAAAAGCATAACAAAAGAAACACAGGTTTTGAGGGTTTGGGGAAAAAAGTGGTCAAATTGTGAGCATATTATCAACCGATTGGCACACAATCTATGGGACAACGGATTGAGTGGTCAATGAGTCGATGGTTAGTGTGAATGAGTGGCAGAAATGAATGATAGGATAGTAATTGTGGACAAACCTCTCGACTGAGGACACACTTTACGGCACTTAACGATAGTTATGCCGCCATTTCTATACAACACTTAACCAACACTAGTCTCGAGTCACACAAACACAGCTCCAATCGTATTGTATTCGCTCAACACTACTCTCTTCGCACACTTTGACCATAAATTACATGACTTGCACTTTGAAGCCATTCATTCATTCAGTATTAGGTAACTTTCAATCCAGTTAATCACTAAGCATGCAATTTAATACCAAATTGTAGCACATGTGGTGGTAATTTTCCAGTTGACCATGTTGCAATGTTGAATGTTGCACAGCGTAAACATGTATTAGATATAGCATCCGGATTGCGGACGAGAGTTATACAACTCGAGTAAAATAGTTTGAATATAGGATAGCATAGGATTGCATAATACCTGACGTTTGGAAGTGAGTGCGGGTTTAAAAGGCCAGACAATTGCTAATTATTGTCACTCATATCAAACTTAACCCATTTTCATATGTCTTATGCAATAAGTGGTGATATAGTGAGCAAAGAGTTAGTGTTGGGCACGAGTGACCGAAATGTAGTCCAAGAGTAAACCGATAGTTTGAGATGAGATTCCCAAACATAAAGTTTAGCCAAAATAAGTGATTTGTTTAGTTTACGTATGATTTAAAACCATTTGTTTATTCAACAATAAACGATATAATAATTTATAAATACATTCAAACAGAATAATAATTATCGGCATTAATATAAGGAATGTTTAGAAACGAATAAAATTATATTCCATTTGGTATTTCATATAAAATATAATAATTAACTGTAAATTGA